TGAAGGCGCAAATTTCATTTTAATCCAATGTTCTTCCTGCCATCTGCAAAGAAGTCGACTGTGAGGAAGGAGAGGGTCGTTGGGAAAGTCCTCTTTTCTTACTTTCAGCAAAGTAAGTGACACGCCCGCATCCAGATCTCACACGTGCAAGGCCATTAGGAGATTTTTGGGGGAACACAATATTTGCAATAATGTTATTATTTGTCTGATTTAATTTAAAATCTTTTAAGCCTTGTATTCATACAATACAAAATGTGATTTGTTAAATATGAAAGAACACAAATTTATTAATCAAATGAAATTAGATTGTTCTAACATTATATGGATTACATCTTCAATCAATAACTATTTTAAAATAAAATCATTAGAGCAGAAAAAGATTGACCATTGACACTACTAAGAAAATAGTTCTTTCACTTCCATTTGGATCTTGATATATTGCAATAAGGGTAGAAGAATGAAAAAGTAACTTGCATAACAGATGAGACTGAATCTTAATCTTAAGATTAAGATGAACCTTATGCGTGAGTGTTCACAATTTAAATAAATCTTCAATTTGCATCTGTTCACAATTTAAAGATTAAGATTCTGGATGAAGTAAGAATGTGTTAGATGAGACTCCCTCATCTAAATTGAGTATCACGCTCTTCTAATATAATAACACAGAATAGAAGGAAAGTTTCATCTCATTGCAGAAACCTAAATGTTCTGCCCTTCACCATTTCGAACAGTTGACTTCAAGTCATCCGAAGAATCCACTTGAGCTGAACCACCATCCATCTTTGTTTTCTTCTTGACCTCTCCTCGTCCATTTGTAAGGTTTATTCCTTCCTTCGTCATCCATGGTGGCGTGAGTTTCACATCCATGCACTTTCAGGCTTAACATCCCCTTCCTTACCTTCCAACACCAGTAAAGGTAACCTCCACCTGCCAAGATACATATATAAAACGTTAAAAAAATCCAATTATCACTGAAAATTTTAATCTTTGGCATCCAGGGATTAGTGATGCAACAGTCTAGAGAACTTACATCCAATAAAGATATAGATCACAAAGAAGATAGAAAATTATTCAGTTCAACCAAAAGACAAAAAAATAATCAGCAAAGCTTGAACACGTAACCTTCTGAAATAGTGATGGTTCTTGTTCAGATGGATGTTTGATTGAAAAGGAAGACAAAATTTCAGAAAAAGAGAAACTTCCCAAGACCCTGAGATACTTTTCATCAATCACTGTTCTTCTTCTTCTTCTTTTTTGTTTTGGTGGAATGAGCCAGTATTATTCATCAGTGTTTTGCTTTGCGGGTAAAGATAATATCTCAATGGCTTCAGAGAACGAAATCCCATAAGAATTATACACAAGAAACAAATTGGTGGGAGATATAAACTTGCAAACACATATCATGCATCTTTATTCTCAATGTTTTGCGTTATAGTTTAAATAACTATTCCCAAATTGAATAATTTGGGTAGCACTTAGACCCCAAAACTAATGCATAAAAGAGAATTAAAGCAAAGAATGAACTACCTTTGTGTCTCAAAGAAATGGCGTTGGTGTTACTCCATACCCCAGCCCTTGAGAAGGTTTAGAAGGATCATTTGCACTAGAATTCGCTGCACAGGCAGCAGTGATTGCTCGAGCTTCCCACCCTTGCGGACTTCCAAATTCAGGAACAGCTAACTATTTCACTCTTGTAAGTTGATCGTTTAATTGTTTAAGCTGTGCCTGCATATAATTACATTTTTTTTTAACATCAGTAAGTCCTAGTGCAGATGAAAGCCATTCCATACAGAATAATGTAACAGTAAAGAAGCATATCAAAGTCTTCTCAAAACTTGACTATCAAATCAAAATATATGTAAATAACTAAACACTATTCACTTGAAAGCATAACTGAAAATCTCAGCCATAAGATTCATGGTACTTGTCTCATTGTGAACTCAGGAAAGACTGCCACTTAGTCAACTTTATATATATATATATATATATATCTTAAGAATTTTGTTCTCATTTATATATTTCTGCAACAGTTACCTATAATTTTCAGACAATTATTTTTGCAAAAATCAAATAGTAATGTTGCTTCCATCAATTCACAGCTTAGAGAAATAATTATTTTTTTTAAAGCAAATAATTCACAAGCAGAAATTTTGGTGCTGAACTGACTCCAATTTGACTCTTTAGACAACAAAATAATAATAATAATAATAATAATAATAATTTTCACTTTCACCATTGAACCACTACAGACCACTACAACTACCAATTTCATACAGAATAAAATCACCTTATTAACTCATCTTTAATCTAACAGAAAATCTAAATCAACAAAAAAGACAAAAAAAGGAGCAGAATTTGAGTTTCAAAAAAAGAGTGGCATCAGATCCACTACCAAAGACAAGAAATGGATGAAATGACATAAAAAAGAAGAAAAAAAAGCTAAAGATAGACAAACGAACCAGTTTATTCAGAGAGATTGAGAAGAGAATGAACCAGCTTCTAGTGATCTTGAGAACACCATATATGCTAATCAAGCATTCACGAGTACATAAGATGGCAAAGATCTCAATGATTGAAACGTTGAAAACCCATTCCTTTGGTTAATTTCAGGAGCCACTTGAACCATTTGCAATCAGTTCAAGGATATTTGGACTCTTTTTCTGTCCAGGTCTGTTTCTAGAAAAGAAATCATATGTGATATACATGAGGAAATCCAGAAAGAGGCTCTTTCCAGATGTTCCTCTGAAATATTCGGCATTTTCTTGTGCACTATGAAAGGCTCTGTCCATTATCTTATAGGAGACCTGATCAAAATTGAAGGAAATTTCACTTAGCTTCTGACTCCACATTAAGGTCCTGTGAGGCATCCCCTGCTTGCAGAAGTGGGACAATATTACATTAGTTGTAATGATATTTGGAACAAAGGCCATCTTAAGCAATTTTGCAGTTATGATCATGGCACGGTCTAGTATGTCACTACAAACAGCATTCACCATAGTGTTGTATGTCACTGTATTGGGAACAATACCAGCTGAAATAAGCTCATCTAGCATCATCATAGCTCTAGTCATCTTTCTGCTATTACAAAAACCATTAATCCATATATTATAGGTTGTAATATCTGGGTCCCACCCACTTGCAGACATTTTATTCATATACTCATCAGCCTTAACCATATCAAATGCCTTACAAAACCCACCAATCAATGTGTTGTACGTTACAATATCTGGAACCAACCCTTTCTCTTGCATGTCCCTAAATGCCTCAATTGCCAACTTCATACTACCCTGTTTACAAAAACCACTAATGATAATATTGAAGGTAATAGTGTCTGGAAGAAGACCCTTTTCCCTCATCTCTTCTTCCAGTTTTAATGCTTTGTCCAGGTTCCCACAGTCACAAAAACCACCAATCAAAGAGTTATATGTGAAATTATTTGGTCTAAGTCCTCTCCTCAACATTTCTTGAAACAAACCATAGGCCTCCTCAATTAGACCTGCTTTAGACAGCCCATCAATAAAGACTGAAAAGGAAACAACATCAGGGAACTTTCCTCTCCCTTCCATCTCATTCCACAGATTTTGTGCCCCTGCTAGATCTCCCTTCCTGCAGTATCCATCCAGGAGCATGGTAAATGCCACTTTGGCAATGGAAAATCCCTTCTCTGTCATCTTAAACAAAAGCTCCCTAGCATCCTGGAGCCTCCCCTTCCTAGACAAGCCCATGAGCAAGGAACTGCATGTGGAGGATGATGGAGTCAAACCAAACTTGACCATAATTTTATAGGCTTCATTTGCATTATCTTCTAAGCCAGCTCTGCTATAAGCTGCAATAACTGAATTAAAAGCAACAATACTTGGAGTCATCCCTTTCTCAAGCATCTCCTCTAAAACTTCCATAGCCTCATCCAAATGACCTGCCCAACATAACCCTGCAATTGAAATATCATACAATGAACAATCTGGAAGCAAGTCTAGTGCTGATAAATCCCTCAACAACTGATCTCTCTCCTCCTCCATCCCATACTTGTAATGCCCTGCAACCAAAATATTAAAAGTTACACCATCAGGTGCTACGCCATTCTTTTTCATTTCTTCATAAAGCACATTTGCCTTACCAACATCCATTGCCTTAATGTACCCATTCATCAAGGTATTATAAGCTACAATATTTGGAGAAAGACCCACATATTGAATCATATCAAAAACATCCACAGCTTCCTTCATATTTCCCACACTACAGAAGGCATTAAGAAGAGTACAGAAAGTAGCAATGCTTGGTTTACAACCCCTCTCAACCATCAAACATACCCAAGCAAGCGCATCTGTTGTCTGTCCAGCATTGCAGTAAGCATTAATTACAATATTATACGTATAAACATCTGGATTGCACCGAAACTTCCCCATCAAATGCAGCAAACTCTCGCTAATACTAAGTAAACCCTTTCTACAAAACCCAAGAATCATTACATTGAAAATGTAATTATTAGGGCAAGGCCCTTTCAGAACCATATCCCTAAACAGCTTCCACACGCTACCATAATCCCCAGTCCTAATCAACAGCTTGAAGAGAATCACCATTGCTGACAAACTCGGCCTCAAACCCAACTCTCTCATCCTTACCAAAATTTCCAGTGCTGGAGAACTCGTGTCAGCATTCAAGAAAGCTCGCATAAGTGTGTCAAGAACTGAGAAATCTGACTCATATTCATGATGACTTGCCCACATAAAATCCACCAATTCATCACTCCTAGATTCCCCAATTCTCCTAATCATCCAGGAAACCATATCCTGCGCCAAAAATCTAAGTTTCTCTGCTGCTAAAATATGCGCAGCAACACATGAAGACCTCATAAGACTAACAGAATCATTCCTAAATGACAACTTAAAGAATGCAAATGCCGTTTCTCTGGATTCTAACAATTTTAAGATCTTTACCAGAAAATACGGACAAAACTTTCGAGAAAATCCCAATAATATGTATCCTTGATCTCCTTTGATGATCTTTGACAACCCAACAATCACTTTTCGCCGTTCATTTGAATTAATAAATACTAAAGAATCTGCAGTATTGTTAGAATTGCAAAATGGCAAGAACTGATTCAAAGACTCGAAGCTTCTAGGACTTGAAGAAGTGTAGGAAGAGGAATGCCGCTTCTGACAAAAACGGGGGAGACCGAAGTGAACTAGGGTTTGTAAAGTGTTAGAAAGAGATTGAGATAGAAAGATAGTGGATTTATGCACCTGGAAGGTAATGGACATGTGGCTCAGGCCAGCAGACATAAGTTGCCAGCGGAGCATATGTCTTGTCTTGCAGGTGGTTGACAGCCGGCGAACGGCGGATGCGGGTTGTCAGATCGGAGTTTCTAGAGGACGGCTTTGCATTTGCGGACTAAGAAAATTCAAAAATGAAAATTTAGGAGCTAGTATGCGACCCCGTTCTTCGCTTCGCTCTGGATGCTTTCTCCATTAGGCGGCTAGGGAACAGCTAGCTGGTTGCAGAAGAACGTAGAGGGAGAAATCAGGCAGATGTGCGGCTGCCGAATCAAGAGAGGGGCCAGGAGAGCTTGGGTGGTGTCGATTAGGGATGAAGTTGAAAGCAGCAAAAGGGGAAAACGGAGATGGAGCTAGGGTGTGTAGCTGTAGGTGGAGAAACGGAGAAGAGAACGGATGAAGGTTGCACAGACAGGGGTTCTCCGTGGGGTCTCTGCGGGCTGCGGTTGCTTGAGTGGTCTCCACCTCCTTAGGGCGTGTTTGGTTTGTCGAAACTATTTTTCCTCGCAGTCTCATGCAGGAAAGTTTGGCAAAAACCTACTTTGAGCCCCTCACCTTACCAAGTTTGAAGATTTTAACCTCTTACCTTATACTAGAACACTTTTAGGCCCTCACCTAACTAGATTTATAAGTTTTAACTCCTTACCTATTAAAATCGAAGAAAATAGCCCTCATTTTATACTAATTGTTAACTCTATTAGTTGAAGTAAATTTTTATTAACTAACAGTCAACTAATAGTCAGTTAACAAAATTAACAAAATATTATAAAATTAATTCTGTTAACTATGTTAGCTGAAAGAAGGTTTTTGTTAGTTAATAGTTAATTAACAATCAACTAACAAAACTAACAAAATATTATAAAATGAGAATTATTTTCTTCAATTTTAATAGGTGAGGGGTTAAAAGTGTCATAACATAAGATGAAGGACTAAAACCTATAAATCTAATAAGGTAAGGGGTTCAAAATGTCATAATATAAAATGATGGGCTAAAACCTTTAAACTTGATAAGGTAAAGGGCTCAAAGTAGACATTTGCGTGCAATACAATGGTAGCAGCAGCCATGGATTACAGCTTCTAGGGTTTCACGTTTTTAATAATGACACTGTGTTTGGCATTGGTTTCATATCATTATTCAAAGGCAAAAGCTTATTTTTAACCCCTTACCTTGTCAAGTTTGAAGGTTTTAAGCCCCTCATTTTATAGTATGACATTTTTAGCCCTTCACCTTATTAGATTTATAGGTTTTAATCCCTCACCTTATACTTTGACACTTTTAACCCCTCACTTATTAAAATTGAAGAAAATAACTCTCACTTTGTAATATTTTGTTAGTTCTATTAACTAACTATTAACTATATTAGCTAACTGTTAATTGACTGTTAGTTGTCAAAAACCTTTTTCATCTAACAGAGTTAACAGAATTAACTTTATAATATTTCGTTAATTTTATTAATTAGCTATTAGTTAACTGTTAGTTGATAAAAATCTACTTTCAACTAACAGAATTAACAGTTACTATAAAGTGAGGGCTATTTTCTTCTATTTTAATAGATGAGAGGTTAGAATCTACAAATTTAGTAAGATGAGGGGCTAAAAGTATCATAGTATAAGGTAAGGGGCTAAAACCTTCAAACTTAAAAAGGTAAGGGGCTAAAGGTAAGTTTTGCCAAAAAATTGAGCGGCATTTTAGTATTGTCACGATAATAGAAGAGTGAAAATCAAAACATTTTATTTTATAATAAAAATATCAAGATATTTAATCTTAATCACTTTTAATTATATGATAGATAAAATTTAAGTAAATTTTACATTAAATTTTACATTATATCTCAACAATTTTGTTGTAGCTGTTATTGGATGTTTTGATAGGAGTATATTTTATTCTGAGGAGTTCTATTTTTCCCGTTCTCTAGTACTAATACGGGTGGCATTTTTAATATAATATTTTTTGCAACTCAACTCAGAACCAATCTTTTCTTTTTCAAAATTTTAAAAAGTTTTTCTAAGGTATACCATAAGAGCTTAGGTCCTTTTTTATGAAAATTGCTAATATATAAATTTGCAAAGATGACTCTAAGAATATACAATCAGAACAAGTAGTATAGAATGTGAGAATTCTCCTCTTGACCCTCATTAGGTTTGGTTAGCTATTGATGCAAATTCTACTTTTTACTACACAATTATTTCTTATTCTACAAAATAGTGCTATATATCTATTTGTTTACATCAAAAATTGTAAAAATTTAAGATCATGTTACGTGTCAAATATTTTTTAAATGGATGGAGGTGATTTAGCCATGTCAGATATGCAATTTGGGGTCCCATGACAAATCAAGTGCCATATAGGAAAGAAGGAGATAAAAAGATAAGATTTTATTTTCTTGTTACCTTTTTGGGTTATATTGGGTCTATTTTAGCTAAAATCTAAGAGTTGGTTTCAATTATGGGTGTGGGTTACACTACAAGTAAAATGCCATTTACCAACGGAAGTCTATACTGACGGATTGAAATCGGTCTGTATAGACAAGTCTATACCAACAGAAAAATATATCCGTTTGTATAGACAGGTTTATGCTAACAGAAAAATATATCCGTCTGTATAAATAGGTCTATACCAATGGAAAAATATATCCGTTAGTATAGGTCAGGTTTATACAAACGAAAAATTATATCCATTAATATAAACTAAGTGTATACAAACGAAAAACTTATTATCTGTCTATCTGTAAAATTCACTATTTGTTAAACCCAATTTTTCCCACTTTAATTTCAGCCGGCTGTCCTTATTTTCACTTCCCTCCACATATTCCCAATTTCCCTCCCTACATTCCAAGTTTCCCTCCCCAGCTAGACCTAATATTTCCCTCTCCCAAATCTTGTTCGACTCCAACCTTCACTAAAATTCATTTCCCTTTTCTCTCTTCTCTCTCCTATTCTTTCCCTTTTTCCTTCTCGCTGTTCATGCCATTATCGTCCGATCAAAGGGGCCAGCCGACGTTCTCATTGTGGGACAGTTCTCCAATAGCGCAGATTTGACATTCCATCCAAAAATTTTGGTTAACCTTGACGACTTTTCGACTTGATCCAGCACTAGGGACCTTAGATCCATGTTTCAGACTCCGATTGACCCTTCGGTGGAGTCGATTAGTGTGTGCCTACAGGACAGATCGGTTGCTAGATCGAGCTCAAACCTCATCGAAATGTTCTATTTTCTACTGATTCGTAACGCTGACTGCATTTCACGGCCACGATCAGTGTTCTTAGGTTTCTACTACGCGCAATGGTCCATAGTGCCAAGCAGACAACTACAGATCCGTCTTCTGTCAAACCCTAGCTTGCTGGAGGTGTTTTTGGAGTGTCAGACACCAACATAGAGGGTAACTCACTAATCCTTATATTTTCATTTGTACTGTCAAGTTTCTATTTATCACTTCTCTCTATCATGGAAAAAATCTTTATAGAAACCACAATTATTAAAGCATATGTCCTGCACCATTTGTATAAGAAAAAAATTGTAATAAAACAAGGCTAACTGCAGATGAATTACTTTCTATAATTTAGCATAAAAGTGTTTTGTATCTCTTTGTTGGGTGTTCAGTTATTTTGGCATGCTTCAATCTTCTTAAATTCCTCTGTAAAACTCTTGTATTCCAGACCATATTGCAAAGGATATATATCAAAGATCCTTTCTCTTTGTGGATTTTCCTTGTATTCCTTTAAATTATGTTTATTGGTATAATTTGATGACAAGTTTCATTGATGTGATAACAGATCCTGGCGCCACCAGAGACGGTTCTGGATGTTTGCTATCACTTCGCTACCTAAATCAGGTGACATAATAAAAGATCAATTAGTACTGTGTCGTAGTTGGTTTTCTGTTCTCATATCTGTTGGTTTTTTGTTCTCATATCTGTTGGTTTTTTGGTTGAGATTATTGTTTATTGGCTAGATTGTGGAAAAACTAGGCAGAAAAGCACCTAAGTTATTTTAATAAAGCACTACCATAAAAAACTGAAATAGTCTCATTTATGTTTTAAAAATGAGGATGTTTTAGTTTTTCAATGGAAATTAATTAAAATGATTTAGTTTTAAATATTTTTTTGTCTAATTTTCTATAAATACTATTGATAAATATATAAATATATATTTTGGTTACTTGACTATTAATTTGTTAGTCATTTGAAAAGATGTGGCAGCAGAATACTAATATGATATCAATGGAATTTGGTTTTCTGTTAAATACCTTATTACTTTAATGCAAGATTAATACAATGAGAAGTGAAAATTTTGGTCTTTCAGCCTTCAATTATTCAACAAGAACTACATTGTGCTATCTCTCTAGTAATGGGCTGTTTCAGGAGCTTCATTGGTTTAAGAAATCTTATGGGTCATGGTTCTTGGGAGACTATGTTTGTGAAGGTAGCTATTAACTTACAGGAGTAAAAAATAAAAATAAAGAAATGAAATAAAGTCTGAGAAATTGTAAACCTTCAAAGCCTCAAAAAATTATTGAAAGTACTAAGATTTATGTTTCATGCCATACATTTTACCTGATTACTTGCTTAATCTTCCTTTTGTAGTTGATGGGATTGGCTAAAATATTTAGGTTATCCCATAAAACACTCTGGCCAACATAAGACAGTTAATATTGGTTTGCTTGTTCCATTTTTGTATCCAGATGGCTGCTTATATACTGCTACTCCAGTTGATCCAGTTTTCATATTGCTGCCTATTTTTGAAGAAGCAATAATGAAGGTACAACTGTTATTATTAATACATTCATCAATCTACATCTTCATTTATTTATGCAAGTTTAAGCTTTTCCATTGCTTAGTGCTCGAGAAAATCTTAGGACCTGGTACCATGGGTATGAAGCGCATCTCATCTTTGACTTATTCCAATTTTTTCACTTTTCTCCTTCAGTTCTTTGAATGCTTATATTTGGTTTTCTTGCTGTTGACGACCACTTGAGATTTTTTTTCAAAATAAATTGAAAAATCAAGTGTAAAATATAAAAGGAAAGGGGAGTCGCCACTCGTCCAAATTATAAGGTGGGACAAGTCACCTAAAACAGGTTTGCACAGAGATCAGGGTTCGGGGGTTCAGTTAGGAGTGAGAAAGGACATACGCGCACCTCACAATCCTCCGTTTAAACACGGTTGCATACTTTAAAATTGGGGTTTTAATTCAACTTATTTATTATGTTTATGTTTGAGTCTTAATAAGCAAACTTAAAAAAAAGATAAACCGAATCAAAACATTTTTTAATTTTTTCGGATTGAAATAGACAAAATCACGAACATGCATGCACAATAAAACACAAATAAAATTTAAATGGACTGATTTGAAAAAGTTTAAAACTTTTGGACTAAAGTGCTTGAACATGAAAAGATTGTGCGAAATTGAAATAAAAGAGATAACTTTTGATTTTTTTACTTTTTAACCTTTTTTAGTTTTTTTTTATTGGATTGGGTCGGGTTGATCCATCCAAAAAACACGAACCCACCAACCAAAGTGGGCAAAACAGATTAAAAGCTAGACCAAAATGAAATCTGGACAGAAACAGAAAGGATCTGGATTTTCTGTTCGGCCATCCAACAGAACAGAACCAAGAAAGCAAGTAAACATCCATTCCAATTCGGATCCATGAAATTCAACAAACATGCTTGATTTCATTCGCAGTATCATCATCTAGTACAGTTTTAATAAAGCAAAACTCTATGACAATCAGAATCAAACAAGGCGAAATTTCTGG